AGCTGAGCCAGGGGAGGAAGAATGCGGGTCTATTTAATGGTCTTCTGCCTTATTTGCTGCACCGTGAACGGACAAGTAGTGTATTCCATCGCTGAGGAAACGGAGCGCGGAGCATCTGTTGGGAACATAGCGAAGGATTTAGGAATAGATGCAGCTACACTTTCAGCTCGGAAATTTCGTATGATCACCGGTTCAAGTAAGCAATATTTTAATATAAATGGAAGCACGGGGACCCTGTCTGTTAATGAGCCCATAGACAGAGAGCAACTTTGTGAATTAAAGTCTGCCTGTCTTCTGAATTATGAACTTGTGTTAGAAAACCCTCTAGAGCTTTATAGGATGGAATTTAAAGTCTTGGATATAAATGACAACTCTCCCAGCTTTCCCTTAAGTGAATATCATATAAAGGTGCCTGAGTTCCTGTCACCCGGGGCACGGTTTACACTCCCCAACGCCCGAGATCTTGATGAAGGTACCAACAGTGTTCAGAATTATACTCTGAGCCCTGATGAACATTTCCATCTGGAAATGCAGACACGTGGAGACGGGAGTAAATATCCTGAATTGGTGCTGAAGAAAGCCTTAGACAGGGAGCAGCAAGCCACACACAGACTTGTCCTTACAGCCAAAGATGGTGGGGATCCTCCAAAGTCTGGTAATGTCCCAGTCATTGTGACTGTGCTGGATACCAATGACAATGCACCAGAATTTGAGCACTCAGTCTACAGGACGAGTATCTTGGAAAACTCCCCCAGTGGCACATTGGTAGTGCAAGTGCATGCCACGGACTTGGATGAAGGTCCAAATGGAGAGATCAGGTATTCATTTAGCAATACAACTTCTGCTGATCTACAGCGAATGTTCTTAATTCACCCACACACTGGGGAGGTGACAGTCAATGGTGTTTTAGCTGTTCAGAGACCTCTCCTCGAGATGCTTATTGAGGCAAGGGATAACGGGGCATTTGGTATGTCCAGCACAGCTAAGTTGCTGGTGGAAATCACTGATGTGAACAATCATGGCCCAGAGATAACAATTACATCCCTTTCCAGTCCTATTCCTGAGGATGCTGTTCCTGGAACAGTGATAGCTCTGCTGAGTATTATGGATAAGGACCCTGGGGAGAATGGGAAAATAACCTGCCAGATCCCTGATAATCTTCCCTTCCAGTTAAAGCCTTCCCTTGAAAACTACTACAGCCTGGTCACCAGCAAGCTTCTGGACCGAGAGCTGATCAGTGGGTACAACATCACCATTACTGCCACAGACTTGGGCTCCCCGCCCATCACCACTCAGAAGACCATTTGGGTGCAGATTTCTGATGTGAATGATAACCCCCCTGTCTTCAGTGCTGACACATTTGATGTGTTTGTGGAGGAGAACAATCCACTTGGTGCTTTTCTCTACCAAGTCTCAGCATCTGATCCTGATATGGGGGAGAATGGACGTGTCTCTTACATTCTCAGGAATTCCACAGTTGCAGGCAGTGCCCTGGCCAGCTTTTTGTCTGTGGATTTGGCCAACGGGAGCATCTATGCAACAAGTGCCTTTGACTTTGAGCAGCTTAGGAGCTTCTGTTTCGAAGTGGTAGCCAAGGACAATGGGTCGCCAACCTTGAGTGCTGCTGTAACTGTGAATGTTTACATCTCAGACCAGAATGACAATGCCCCAGCCATCCTGTACCCCACCAGCCAGAATGGCTCAGTAGCTGTGGAAGTTGTTCCCCGCCTGGCTGATGAGGATTACCTGGTGACCAAAGTGGTGGCGGATGATGAGGACAATGCGCAAAATGCCTGGCTCTCCTACCACCTTGCCCACTCCTCCGACTCCACCCTGTTCCGCTTGGCACCGCACTCTGGTGAGCTGCGCACCACGCGCTCCATGCGCTCCACCGACTTTCTCAAGCACAAGGTGGTTGTGGTGGTGCGGGACCATGGGAATCCACCGCTCTCCTCTACTGTGACAGTGGGCATTCTCCTGGCTGACACCCTGCCCCAGGCACTACCGGACTTTGATGACAGTGGGGAGCCACCATCACTGCTCAATGCTACAAACATCTACTTGATCGTTTCCCTTGCCTGTGTCTCCTGCATCTTTGCGGCCTTCCTCCTCTTTCTTGCCATTCTGCGGCTCTGCCGCTGCCAGACCTGCTGCTGCAGTGGCTGCTGCTGCCCAGCTGATGAGTATGAAAAATATTGCTATAGTGTGCACATGCTTCCCAGCTCCCATCTCCCAGCGGACATGCTGGAGGTCACTGGTGTGGGTAAACTGACTCATACCTACTTGTACAGGGCATCTGTAGGTCTTGGGCCTAGTAACAGCAGCATCCCAAATGGTGATGCAGGGAATATTGCCAGTGGCTCAAGGTTGCAAGTGCAAGGACCCTGCATCCAAGTGCAGCAGGTCCAAAGTGATCGGTTGAGTGCTGTCCTTGTGGTAAGTACTTCTTCCTTTCCCTCTTTTTTTCACAGACACATGGCCTTGTGTCCAAACTGTGTCGCTGTCAGTGTGGAAGAAGGTACTTGTAGGAGGGCAGATGTCATTTTATGGCACCTGGAGGGAATGTCAGTTCCTCTTATGTCTTTCCTAAAGCCAAGATCTCTTGGCTGAAACATGGTCATGGGTGGTTCTAATCTACACTCTATATAGCTGGCAATTATTTATTTATTTATAAAATTATTTATCCTCTTCCCAGTTCCTGAGACTTTTTCATTGTGGGGTGAGTAGTTTACTGAGCCAAGATGCTCGTTTACAATGCCCAAGGTAAACCTTGGATGGAGTAGCTGGAATTCAATACCTAGCACCTCTTTAGCAAATGGAATTTGTAGTGCTCATATCTGTTTCCAAGGCATCCACAGGTTTGTGAATTTGAAATAATTCTCTTCTGAGCCTCTCACCAAGCTGGTTTCTTCTCAGTAGGGTGATGGGTGACTTTGCAGGAGAGATCTTCCTGTGATCACAGGGTAGGGCTACAAGGTGGGATGTGTCTGAAGGTCTGGTCTGCTGGGTGTTGCTGTGTCATTTTTACAAGAATCAGTTTTCTTATACCCAAGATAACACTGGTTGTGTTTTTAGTAGGTTCTGTGGGTCATCTTTATATTTTTGTGAAGTTTTGAGATGTTTTGCCTGCGGACTGTCAAAATCTCCTTAGTGTGCATGATGGTAACTAACCACTGTTGGCTCTGTCCAGGCCAGTACTCTAGGGTAAGAGCCAGTCCAGACGTTTCTAAGACAGATGTAAGAACCCATGTTGGACAGACATGGTATAACCTGCTTCCTACAGTTGTTTTTATCCTAATTTACAGTTATTAGAGGTTGTCCTAAGTCTGTAATGATGATATTTATTTTAATTTCTGAAATCACTGTTATGCCTTTATATACATGGAATTTGCCAGCTCCTTGTTGAACCTTGATGTAAGGGTAACTTTAGCAACTTCTTTGGATAATCAAATGCCTTTTCAGCTATACAATAAATGATAAAGCACTTCCTTTTATAACTCTGAATTTCCAAGGACTGATTCTTAGTAATTTTCCCCTTGTTCTAGAAAAGATTCCTGATTTGCTTTTAACTATGCAATTAGTTTATTATGCCTTCTTTTATTTATCTGTTGGCAAGGTGAAATAGATCTGTGGGTTGTGGTTTTTTCCCCTCTCACTTTTTTCTGAACACCTTTTCCACAGAAATCCTATTGACAAGTAAAGATCTTTGCTCAAATGTTTGTTATTTGATTTACTCTTGATAGTTTACCTAGTATTTCATCAAAGTCATAATAATTTTTAAGTTCTGTTTTCTGTTGTGACAGAGGGAATATGGCAGTTGCACATGTCAGGGATCTCTCATTATGCAAAGTGGGGGGTGTGGAATAAATCTTGCAAATGCAGAAGCATCAGTGTCTTTCAGTAAGAAATTGTAGAGTCCAGGAAAATAGCACTTGGCAATATGTGTAAAAAAAAAAAAAGTGCTTAATGCATTGGAGTATTTTGGGAATATACTTCATTATTTTGAAGATCTGAATAAGAGGCCGAGTTAGAACCTTTGTAATGGGGAGTTAAAACTTTCTTGGCAATCTTTTAGCTCAGAAGGTGTCTTCAAGAACCTTAATAGTGTCTTGGGGACACATCCTTGGCTGCAGAGTATTTCATAATTGCAAAACTTCTATAACAAAGGTAATATAAAAAAATCCCTGGCACTACTAATTTCCATGTTCCTATTGAGCAAATATGAAACTCAGGACAGCAACACATTAATGGACTAAATAATAATTAAAATGCAAAAGTATCCTCTGTAACAAGAACAACCAAAACGTATCTCATTACATCTCACTGTATTTCAGGAATTCAGGTGAAGTTTTAAACTTGAAATATGAGATGCCTTCTTTAGAAGCTTTTGCTAGTGGGCAGAATGAATTCCAGATATCACCTTTGGCTATTTTAGTTTCTTAGCTCCTAATATGTAGAGGTGGGTAACCATAGATGTGACCTACGTGTAAAGTCCAAAGGCTGTGCATTAACTGAGCTGAGCAGGGGAGCAGGGACTGTGAAAACTTAATCTACCCATAGAAACTAAAAGATGTCAATTGTTACTAATTTGGTGCTGATGATTCCAGTGGCCAGTATACTGGAGAATCAACTACATACATAAACACAAATATATGTGTATATGTACAATTTATTTATTTCTTGAAAAATTTGCAAGTTATTAAAATGGCATTCATATTCAAGTAATCAGGAGTGGGCAGAGGCTGCAGTGTCTCTTCTTTCATTTCTGTACATGCCTTAGATTAACCAAGACTTAAAATAAAGTATAATGATGTGGAAAATAGTTTCCAGTCATCTGAGATAGGAAAGAAGAGTCACTTGTTGTTGAAAACTATACCCTAGTCTAAAATTCCTGTGGACTTAAACATGATTTCTGTGCAGAAGGATCACAGTCACTTTATTAGTGAAGAATGTTTTTACTACTTTTATATTAAAATGAGAGGATTATAATTTTTTAGTGGTTACTAATAGAAATTTCAGAAAAAAAATTAAGTTTGAGTGTTGACTAAATTTTGTCTTTAAGTACTTTCAGACTGGCTCATTAGGAGTTAAAAATACAAACAAAAGTGACCCTTTGAACTTCTGAGGGTTCCTTGTGTTGCTCCCTAAGAATGCAAGTGTAAAAAAAAAAAAAGCATTAACTATTTAAAAGGCACTGGGAGCAACTCCATAGTTATAATACAAGGCACTGGAAATTACTTGAAAATTACATTTTCAGCAGAATTCAAATATCCTCTTTTTTTTTTTTTATTGAGGGAGAGGTTGTGGTTTTTAGTACATGGAAGATAGAAAAAACTACATGTATGAAAAGTTAATTAAAATTCCAGAAATAAAATGTATTTTCAAAATTTAGGTTAACTTCCTTATTCTTCGTCATCTTTTGCTACTGAATTAAACATTAGACTTGAATGATTTTTACGTATGCAGATGCATGAGACCCTTTTGTGCTTTTACATCTTCTATTTAGGTTAGAGCTAAAAATAGAACTATGTATGGCCATAATAGCAGTATAGTAAACTGTAATTGTGTGTCTCTTGGTATTTTGCTATGTCTTTCTGCAACGTAGCATAAATGACTTCTAAGAGGAAGGCATGTTGCACTGCTGCTGTGCTGTATTGGAGACAAAGGAACGAGTGGGATTACTGAAGTAAGCAGTAGTTCGCTGAGTATTTCTGGGATCGTGATGTGGCCATGGATTGTTACAGTTCTTGTGATTGCTTGTGCTGTCCTTTGTGCTACGCAAAAGGACCGTAAGATATTTCTACATTCAGAGTGTAGTGACCTCTCTCTGATTTGACATTCAATATTTAGGTTACATCCAAAAATAGACACAAATCTTGCAATGGAGAATATTTCTTGCTAAACTGTAATAGGAGTGGAATAATTTTGCACAACATGGCATGCATTTCCATTGACAGAAAGGGATGCACTTACATTAAAACAGGATGCAATCTAGGCTGAACTGCTGCAGGCTAAGCATCAGTGGCTTACTTGCACAAATAAAGACCAGCTGTGTAAGTAAGCCCTCCCTACATCTTAATCTGATGGGAGGATGCCCCATAACATAGCCAAATATAAGGGTGAAGCACTTTCCCAATTTTTTTCTGTCTGTGCTGGTAACAACCTGCCTCAAACCAGAAGTCTTACGCCCACATTGTGAGAATTCAATTGTGTAGGCAGATTTCTTGGCTACAGAAGTTATTGTTGGGGTTAGGCCAAGAAAATCTTAGAAAGAGTGATGATCAAAGAAAATTCAGCAAGGGAAACTGCTGTAGATTTCCCTCTTTCTGACCACTCCAATTATCTTTTGCAAAGAAGGATGCAGCTCTAATAGTCAATAAAAGAACACTGTGATCAGGAAAAGCCACACGTTCCTGAGCTGAAATTTCTTCATTGACGTCTGTCTTGGAGTATTATTTTTGCGGGTAGTGGAAGGGAGAGTGACAGGAGTAGCTTGAGACAAAGGGCTTGAGATGCTGTGGAGAGTAATGTGACTATTTGGGGATGCATAAGGTAAAGACAATGATAGGCAGGGAAGGATGAGATTGGATGGTGACCTGAGCTGAAGGAGGGTAGGTGTGAGTAGTAATTCTTGTATGAAAGCACAGAACAAGAAAACACAATTAGGATGAAGTCCAGTCCTTTCCTATATCAACCACCATTTAATCTTAAATCTTTGAATTCAAAGATTGACATTTTAATTGTAAAAACATTAGTTAGAATTTCAGAATTCACCAGGTTTTGCCCATTATTCCTATTGCCATGTTATTTCTCTAAGGCTCTGAAGCCTCTGATGTCATGTCAACAGATATTTGCTGTGAATTTTTAGATTTTTGTTTTAGGCCACCAATGTCCTTTCAGTATCAGTAGTTCTTTTCACTCTTTGGGGCTTGCTTTCTTCATAGTTCATAGAGCAACCAGATCTTTTCTTAGGCTTTGTTTGACTAAGCTAGACAATGTCTTTCAGTCTTTTTTTCTACAGTCACTTCTGCACTTGCCTGATCATGCTAACATCCCTTCTCTGCCTCTGTTCTTCCTTTGTGGATATGTATTTCTTGCAAATACGTGACCAGATTCATATATAATATTTCAGACAAAGGGTCTCCTACATAGGGATAGGGAATACATCACCTGGTACTTCTTGGGATGGCAGTTACCTTGTCCATAGTTGTAGTGTGTTGATTGATCAGTCATCTAAGTATTATTGCAGAACTGCTTTGGGGTAGAGGTGGATGGGGGAGGGCTGGTTCCCAAAATGGTGGTTCTTCTGCCTAACTTCATCCATCTAAATGCTTGATGTTTGGACCTTACATGTTAAAAAGTCATGGTCACCTGCTGAGAGCAACTCATCCTGGTCATCTTAGACATAAGAGTTTAGACATAGTCTACAAACAGTG